AAACAAGTGAGGACATATCACTTAAACAAAAAATACATTTCTGACAACCCTCCTCACATTGAATACTCATCTGAACCATACAAATATGACAGATCTCATCACCAACAAATTGCACCCAAACCCTCATACCGACCACCACAACACCACTACCAAGGACACAGACCCCCCTACCGGTCTCCCTTCAAACCACACACTTATAGAACTAACTACTACCACCACCAACCTACCTCCAAGCCATCCTACTCTCACCCTCCCCAACACTTACCAGCACCCCAAAGATATCGCAAAACTTCATATAAACCACCACGATCACCCCACTATTACAATGTAGCTGAACACTCACCCAAACCCCAAAGACCCCAATACGCAAATAGTCACCAACAATATTCCAATTTCACCCAATCACCTACTATTCCCAATCACCCAAATCGTTTCCAATTACTGTCACTTGACTCAGAAATAGAAAACGAAGATCATTTTTTAGAGATTCGCACCCACCCAAATTTAACAGCCAATACACCTTACCCTCCACGAACAAAAAAAGAATTTTAAGCCCAGAGGTAAACGCAGCGGCGGAAGAGCACAAAAGAGAAAGGCTAGACAGACCGTAAACCCTTCAAACACTTCCTACAACGGTATTTTTAATCTGTCCAACAAAATCTTATCCGCCACCCAAATATCCGTCCTTAATAAAGGTATGAAATTTGCACCGACTAACCCTTTTAAATCTTTCGAAGCCTTTTTAGACATCAACAAATTTGTTCGCAAAGCTACACTAAAGAGATTTTTTAATGACAAATTACCCACCACAACCAATTCTCCACCCCCCATGCCTAGTATCAATAACCCCAATAACATCAACACTCATTTGAAAGAAAAATCCAAATTTTACCCTTCCTACTGCAAATCTGCACCCCTCATCATGTTCGAAAAACTTGTGTTAAAAGACTTTGAAAAAATTAAATATAACAAATATGACTCACACAACCTCACCCATGCCGAGCGCAACACACTGAAACAACTACAAGAAGACAAAGATATTGTCATAAAGCCGGCAGATAAAGGAGGTGGGATCGTTATCCTATCTAGCAAGATGTACATAGATGAGGCACATAGACAACTACATGATACAGAAACATATAACAAACTACCCTCTGACCCCACCCCTACCATCCAAATCACCCTATCCACTTTTTTACAAAAAGGCTTGGATTCTGGCATCCTAACCAAAAACGAATACAACTATCTTAACATCAAATACCCTAAACTCCCTGTCATATACTTTTTACCAAAGATACATAAAAATATTAATAACCCCCCTGGCAGACCCATCGGGTCAGGGATAAATTCCCTACTCTGCAATCTGTCAGAATACATTGACATACTCCTCCAACCATCCGTTAAATTAATGCGCTCTTACCTAAAAGACTCTATGTCACTACTACGTTTTTTAGACAAATTCAAATGGCAAACTAATTACATTTTAGCTACTTGTGATGTCCAATCCCTATACACTATTATACCCCACCATATAGGATGCCAGGCAATCAGAGAAATTTTAACTAAAGAAACCAGAATCCCCCCTACCCAAATAGATTTTATTTTAGAAGGTATTAATATCATTTTAACCAACAACTATTTTTGGTTTTTTGACTCCTTTTACCTACAAAAACAAGGCACTGCGATGGGTACAAGGTTCGCGCCAAGCTATGCCAACCTCTTTATGGCCGACTGGGAATCCACGGCCATATGGGGAAGGCACGCTTGGTGTACGAACCTTGTAACATATTTTAGATATATAGATGATTTGTTTTTTATCTGGGATGGCACAGAAGCTCTTTTTAACTCTTTTATCCACCACCTCAACATCAACAATAGAGGCATTACCCTAACCCATGAAACAAGTAAGGAATCTATTAATTTTTTAGACCTCAACATCTTCATTACAGACAACACCATCCACACCAAAACATTTTTTTAAAAAGTCTGCGTCAACACAGCTATCGAAAGATCTAGCTGCCATTACAAACCTTGGTTGGAAAGTGCCCCTCAAAGCCAATTCCTTCGTCTCAGAAGGAATTGCTCCCAAATAGAAGATTTTAACAAACAATCAAATTATCTAAAAGAAAAATTTATTGAGAAAAATTACTCACCAACCCGCCTCAACACCATTATAAATACCATCACCAAAAAAGATAGAGCAGACCTCCTAACTTACAATACCCAACCCACCACCAACACCATGCCCCTTCCTGTTATTTTCAATTTTAATAACAAAAGTGGCCATGTCAAAAAAATTATCAAAAAACATTGGCACCTCTTAAAAGAAGACGAAATACTTAAAAATATTATACCTGACAAGCCTAATGTTGTCTTTAGAGGTGCCCCAAACTTCAAATCCATTTTAACCACCAATTTTACAAAAGAAACCAAACCTACTTTTAATTCTTTTATGCCCAATGCCAGTGGCTTTTATAAATGTAAAAGATGCATTGTATGCAAAAACACAGACCCCTCCGTCCCTTCCAAAACCACCAGTTTTAAATCTAATATCACCAACAAAACCTATAAAATTAAAGATTTTATCAGTTGCGATACCAAAAATGTCATCTACTTGTTGGAGTGCCCTTGTGGTCTCCAGTATGTAGGGATGACCACAAGAAGTCTTAAAGTGAGACTGAGTGAACACTGTAGAAATATCAAAAAAGGCTACCTGAATCACTCAGTCTCCAAACACTTTTGTACACATAACAACGACATAAGACACCTTAAATGCATCGGCATAAAAAAATGTATAATACCATGGAGAGGTGGTAACATTAAGAACATATTAGGTAAAGCTGAGATGGAATGGGTTTTTAATCTCAAAACTCTTACCCCATCTGGTTTAAATGTTGATTTTGACCTGTTTAATTTTATTTAAATTCCTATATACAACCCTTATCTACATGCTTTTATTCTTTATGTCTGGACCTAACCAACCCTCATAATAATAATAATCTTTTAAGTTTTATTTTTTCATCTATGCCTTTCTATTTATGTATCTTGTATTCTGTGTAATCTTTTATTTAATTTTATTTTTATTTTATCTATTATTTTCATTTAACATCTGTATTATTACTCTGGGGTATAATATAACCCCTATTTAAATCATTATGTTTGGAATTATATTACCCCCTTTTCATGCATACTCCATTTACATATATCTCTGTATCTCTGTACCTTTAAACCATCTATTTTTTTTTTGTTCTTTTAATGAACTTTAATCAAACCCTTTTTTTTTTGTTCTTTTAATGAACTTTAATCAAACCCTTTTTTTTTGTTCTTTTAATGAACTTTAATCAAACTTTTTTTTTTTTGAACTTTAATCAAACAACTTTTTTTTTTTCTTCCTTTCTTTCTCTTTAAAAACAACTTTCTCACTCTAGTTTTCACATTTAAATAATTTAAATGGACTCATCACCTTTATAACATCACTCCCATACTCTTGAATCCTAATTTTGAAAAGTGATTTTAAAAATTGTCTCTGATTGGCCAATTACACTTTTGGCGCAATTTTCAAATTAACATAGCCCTATTTAAACAACCCCTGCCAGGTTACTACTTTTATCCCATTCTGAAGAAGCCACTTATGGTGAAACGCGTTTATGGTTATTAATTCTGTATTTTACTGTGTATTTTAGATCAATAAAAGTTTTTTGGCTACTTTATTGTACCAATCCTCTTTTTATTGCACTCTTTATGCACTTTAAACAACTTTTGTTTTTACCTATTCCTGGCATTTTAACCTTTCCTGGTTACTTTTACTTCCATTGGCAATTTTAAAGTTCCAGTACTCCAAGAAATCCTAGGTGGGGATCATACCACCGGCGCCTATCCATAGAGCAGTACCTCTGCTCTATCTTTGTGAGTATTATTTTATTTTCTCTACTACTCTCTTAACCTATCACAATTGAGAGCACTATTGCTGCTTTTTATTCTTCTATATTGGAGCCTTGGATCACCAGACGGTGCTGACGGACGTATCGCCGCTACATATCCTATAAGCGGGGATTATACCGCTGTACGCTATCCACACCAGAGCTGGCCATAGCTCCCTCAAATGTGAGTTTTTTACCTCTTCTTATCTGCACATTGAACCACATCAAAATTGAGAGCACTATTGTTGCTTTCTGTCTTTCTTTTTCGAGCTCTGGACTACCAGACGGTGCTGACGGAGACCCCTCCCTACATATCCCATAAGCGGGGATTATACCGCTGTACGCAATCCACACCAGAGCTGGCCATAGCTCTCCTGAATGTGAGTTCTTTACTTTTTGTTACCTATCACACCCTGAACTTTCATACTATACCATTAGTCGCCTCTACCTCTCTTGTATTTACATATACGGAACGGTCTACACCAGACGCATCCACAGAGGAACTCTATCAAGTATCCTAGACCATCTATTGGCACCCTAGCAATACTTTACTGGACTATCTACCCTTATTTGGCGCAGCTCTTCCATATCTTTTTGTATCTATCCACCGAAGGACCCGAGGGGTTTTCCTTCATTTGGGTTGCTGCCTACCTTGACTAATTTTGTGATTACTAGCGCTGAATTCTTTTTGTGTTTATTCATACACAAACACACTGCACTCATACACACATACACTGCCTGTGTTGCGACTACTGCGGGGCTGGGTGACAGGTGCTGCACGACAGACCAGGAGTGATGAGCGGCATCCGGCTCGCTGGACCTGGACCCCGGTGTGTCTAGAGGGGGGTGTTTTGCAGTGTGGGTACTGATGGTCCCTGCTGGTTGGGCGAGCGCTGGCTTGGCTTGCTGTGCCCCGTTTCCCGCCGCTAGTTGCTGTTCCATCCCCTTACCGGAGCTGGGAGTTTGAGGATAGTCACCCGAGGTAGGTGTCCTGTTAGGGTGCCAGGATGCGTACGTGCGGCAGGACTTTGTGGATGTCTGAGCAGTTGGTGCTATTGATCCGTGTTGGTTGCGGTGTTTATGGAGTGGGCAGCTTTCATGCACTCAGAGCTTGGGGTTAGGCGCGCGGTCTCCACCATCTTAGATTCTGCATCTGGATTGCTGAGCGGTTTGGTGGTGCTGCTAGGCCTTAGTCCCAGTCTCTGTTGTAGTGGTCGGGGTTTCAGGGTGAGGACCGGTATCACCCCCGCCAGTCCAGAGGGGGGTGAACGGAGCCGGTTCCTGGAGGGTTTAAGCCCCAGGCTGGACACTGTTCGGCAGGATAGCGGGGCGGCGGCGGCCGTCCGCTCCACTCACCGCCGGAGTTGGCCTCAACTTCGGCGTTAAAGGTTTCTCCACCAGAGGACTAAAACTCGTCGAGGAAGCCTCACCCCGGGTCCAGTGCACTCTGCCTGTCGAGGGCCGCTGTTACTGGTCAGTATTTTGGGCAAAAGTCATAGTTTTGTGGCTGAATGGTTTAGTTTTTGATGGAGCTGGCCTGTCTTGCGACCGTCCAGCTTGGCGGTCCGGCCCCGCCCCCCAATTATTGGTATTTTAAACATTTAAATAACGCTCCACTGTGTTTTTATTTTTGATTTGTACGAATTGTGTGTGCCTTGGGAGGATTACACATACAGTGGTAGCGGCTAGATACTAATATCTATATAAACAATATTAGATTTTTTTCACTATTTTAAAATATAGTGCTTGTTGTGTAATATGAGCCAACACCTCTATCCTTAAACAGTTCCTTTCTGACATTATTCTGCCATTGTAACGCTGGTTTTAAATTTATCAATGAATGATCGTGACTGTAACATATACTTTCTCATTTTCAACAGGGCAACTACTTTGGATTCTATGGATTTGGGAATAGACCACCTTATAATTCTGAAGAAGCAAATGAAGATGAAGAACCAGCTAAAACCGAGAAAGAGTCCCCGAAAGCAGAGAGTCCAGTAACCGAGTCAAGCAATGTAACAGTTGATATAATTTCAACAACAGTAGGTCCAATCCTGGGAAACAATGCCACACATAATGCAAGTCTGGTTGGTGAGAAGTCACAAAATGTTAGACCAGATGGTCAAAATATATTACCAGCAGCTGGACCTTTTATACCTGGTAATAACAGAAGAAATATAGAGATATTATCTAGTTCATTCAGACCCTCACACAACATATATAGGCCACCATATCAGCAGAATATTTTACGAAACCCCCAACATAAGTATTACACAGTTAACAAAATTTTAGTAGGGCGTGGAGACAATCCAAACAATATTCGCCCACATAATCACTTAATCAATAAAGCCCCCTTAACAAATACTTTTGATTCTGGAAAAATGTCTAGCCACAAGGAAACCCAGCCCTCTAATGCAGCAAGAAAAACAGATGTGCTGAGGCAAGGCCATGCTAATGGCTACAAGGGCATTTTCCAAGATCCTGGAGCCACGTTGTCAAGACATGAAGGTGGTCAGCCACATAGTGGCAGTACTAGGCCATACCTTGGAGATCCCATGAAACACTATGAAAATAGTCCAGTAAAAGATCATTCACCTTGGCAAGTTAACAAAAACATCTCACCTAACCAAAAATTTATCCTTGTCCATCCACAAAACAATGAACATATAAATGAATATAAAAGACAGCCAATTACTACAGATCAAAAACAAAATATCCCAAGGGGGATGTTTTCTAATCAGCAGCCTATACAACATCAAAACAAGGGGAGTGATCAGAAAAATGATGTACCGCATAATAAAGTCAATTATCTAGGTCAATTCAGCAAAGTCCTAAATAAGAATGATGGCTTTTTTAAACAAAGTGAAGTTCTTCCACCCGCAGGGGATGCTACATTTTATGAGAAAGATGGAAGAGTTTTTCAGAAAGTTAACACATGGAACAGCAAACAAGACAACACAGAAACTGTTAGAATTAATTCTGGGCCACAGCAGGAAACCATTTTTATTTTAAGTCCCATTACTTCAAGTGACAACCCAGTGCTCCACAATAATCCCCTGGGGCAAGGTCCAGACAATTCATTGAATATTGCTTGGGAAAAGACAATATATCAACATAGAAACCCACAATATAACATATTAGGCCAAAGAAATATTGATATTTATCCAGAGACTGAATTTTATGGCCAAGCTAGCAATGTACCCAACACAGGAAAACAATCTTGGGACAATGGAATAGGTTTTAAAAGCCCTCAATATGACCAGCTAGACCCATTAGTGGATGCTCAGCACACCCCAGCAGATCCAATAAGTCAAGATATATATATTATCAATGATGGAGCTCCAACCAGTGAAAGAAGATATGTTCTAATTTCCAATCTAGAGTCATCAAAACACACCGAGAATCCCACCTTTGCTGCCAACAGACCTTTGTATCAAGTCAAACACTCCCCCATGACCCCACACAAAGCAGTCAAATCCTATGATTTTGTTGATTATGATGCTTATTCACAAACACAAAATAAAAATATACCACATGTGGCAAATAGACAGTTTGAGACAACAGAAAGTGAGCAATTTAATATTGGAAGTGAACTACATCCTAATCAGGTTGATCCTATTCATCTACAACTATCACCTTATTCTGAAATGCGTTCCTGGAGTTACAATCCAGTTGAATTTTCACATTCTCGCACAAATTATGATACTTATCCTTCTGGTATGAGAGGACAGCCCTCATATCAAAAAGAAGTGGGAATAGACTATGGAGGTTCCAGGCATTACACTTGCACTCTTCCTATAGTTGATGGTGACCTAACAGGAGGACACACCAACCAATTGCTATATGTTTGCTGTAAACTTTCTGATGTGCAATCAGGGACTCCTTCAGTACCCATGGAAACCCCCAATGATTTTAGATTAACCCTAAATGAATATAATGAATGGGTCCCATATCAAGATAGAACTCACAGGCAACATACAAGAAATGTATTAGATTCTCCAAATGTTGGTTATAACCAGAACAGCAATACACTAACAAAAGGCTGCAATATCACAAATTATGAAAAAATAATGACTTCTGAAAGAGAACACCCAGAAACATTACCGTGCTTAAATAAAGGATGTCATGACCAGAAAAAGGAACATCCACATTACAGTTTGGATGTTATTGACTCAAAACCATGCAGTAGAGGAGATTCGGACATAGACCTATCAACTTCTCCTAAGAAAATTGCTATGACTATTGAAAACACAGAAGGACGATCGATAAATATCCAGGATGATGGATCACTTTACAGAAGAATAGAGAATGATGTCTTGCCTAATAAAGCAACTGGAAAATTACTACGTATTTTGACCTGTTCCAAAGACAGGCAAAACCATACAGCTAATATTTTGAAAAATTTAGGTGGAGGCAAACCAAGTGCATTCTCTTTAAAGCATGACATTCCCATTGAAGAGGCAACAACCAATGCAGGTCTTATTAGGCCTGATGGGTCTTCTGTGTTGTACCAACCACAGGAAAGCAAAGTCAATGCAGATAGCAGTGTGCCAGATTGTTTAGTACTTAACAAATAATAAAGAAACAGTACAGATAAGATTAAGAACATATCAAAATCAATCCGAGACTTCTTAAGAAGTATCTTTAAAAAGTGTGATCAAATATATATCACTAGACCAGCTGGAAAAGTGTTTGAATATCAATCATGCTAAATTAAATTGTCAGCAAAATCTAGTAACAGAGATCTCTAGGAACTGCACCAAATTGATCTCACTAAGCTAAGTCTGAGAGCAATGTAACGAAGGTAAAAAACAAAAATTGCTTGTGAACATCCATGCATCCTGTTTTGGTAATTGATTTTGTACATGTATTATAAACCGACACATTTTTAGTTAGTGCTAGTAAGGTAACAATCTTTCTGTAATAAAGAATGTTAATTTAGTCTTGCTATACGTTATCTTTGAAACATCATTGAATGCAAAACATTAGCTTCTTGTGACTACTCTTCATCATTTACTTTTCAACATATTTTCAAAAAATTATTATGTCCAATGATATAGGCCTATATATAATAAGCTTTCTAAATGCTCCAACACTGCTAGACAAACTTTCCAAATGATTTATCTACAGACATCACCATTAAAGTCGATGGGCATTTTTATAGATAAATCATTTGGAAAGTTTGAAAAAGCTTATTAAATCAAGACCAGAGCCGTAACAAAGTATAATGGATAATTAGTAAGGATGTTTATAGGAAATGTTTAGGCAGAAGAGTGAGTGTGCAAAAATTATTATTGTTTAGCGAATTAGAAGAACATATAACTGTTGGGGCACATTAAGTTTTAAAAGTTTTTTTTTTTTTGGTTTGGTGTTTGCAGCTCTACAGTGTAACTAAAGACAAATTTGTACTATACACACTTAGTATAATTCCCTAATTCAAGAGACAGTCTTGTAAATTTTATAACACGACAGGAGGCTTCATATTTTGCATTAAACTCTCTTTACTAAACTCCAGCAGCACAGATTTAACAATAAAGTTTTTCTACCCACTATACGATTGTGGACGAGCAGACGGCTCGACCACTGATGAAGATAACTGGCATGATATGCAGAGTACAGAATCACGTTACGTCAAAGAATACATAGTAAAGCCTTCTCCATGTAGAAAGGGTAGCCACAAAGTTACGAATACCGATAAAGATGTGTTCATTGATCTCCCCTATTTGACCCATGGGCGATACGACACCCAAGATCTTCCAAATGGTGTGTCCGGACTATCTTGCATAATATGTGCATTTTTGGCTCCGAAAGCCTTTGGAGAAGGAGGTACATGCACACCTTCATGCAGAATGCCCTTGTTCGATCCTCCCAGACATAGTGTCACCCTGGGGTTTGATACCACAATAGTGGTCTTCATGGCATGGATGGGACGAGACCCTCATAAGGGTATATAGAAATGGCTGAAGGCTACACAGGATAAACTCCTGGACATGTTGGGTCCCCTGGCAAAGATCCTATACTATGTAGATCTCGCTCTATCACGCAACACCCCACTGGATGCAAATGATATTCGAGAATGGGCTCAGAGAACCATCTGTATGCTGGGTAACACAAACACGGCTCTATGCACTGAACGATGTAAGGCCGCTCTTCTGAAGATCAACAACAAGCTATTGGATTGGGAAAGAGAGAACTAGGACCATTGGCAAAAGGTTTATTATTTGGTAAACCTTTCATCGCTAAACTTAAAAGGCATGTGAACCTTTTCACCACTTTCAACAAAGCCCAGTCATCATTGAGACAAGTGTTTTACCCTTAGTAAAAACCAAAGAAAAAAGTTACCTGCGCTCTCTCCTTAATCCCTATGTATATTTAAACTTTTTGTATCACACAGCTAGGTTACAATGCTGCCGTCCATCCCATGTGTTCCCTAATAAGGGTTAATAAGTATATAAGGGTGTATATAAAAAATACCCCTTTCTGTCTCCTTAGAGATCTTTGCCAGAAGCTCAAGGAAGCAAGTTGAAGGGTCAGAGTAGGACCCGTCTAGGGGGGTCTGCCTTGATGTTGGCGGGGGCAGGCATTCCCTCCAGTGGCCATTGGAGTAACTAAATGACCTCTATTTGTTTAAATATACATAGGGATTAAGGAGAGAATGCAGGTAACTTTTTTCTTTGGTTTTTACTTTATGTATTGGAGCTGATGTGTACTGTGGTCATTGCTGCCGCCCAGGAGTGATGGGAGTGAGCGCAGGACTTTTCTTTTTGTAAGTGTTTTACCCTAACCTTGGCAGGTGGTGTTTTTGTCAGGGCTGGTCGGCAGAGGGGTCGTGCCGCCATCCGCTTCTGGCCCACAGATCCCAGACACTCGCAGGTCAGAGGTCCAACTCCTTCACGAGTGACAGTGACCCACAGGTCTCTCATAGGCAAAGAGATCCGTGCCCGGTTCGCCAAAGGAGCAGTCCAAGTGGCTCCAGACAGGACAGTTTTCTTCAGCAATTTATTCGTGGTCAAGAAAGAGACAGGAGACTTCCACCCAGCCATTAATTTACGTTGCCTGAATGACTTTGTAGTATACCGCCATTTCAAATTGGAAGGTATTCATCTGTTAAGAGATCTCCTACTGGCCAACGACTGGTTCACCCATCTAGATCTGAAGGACGCCTATCTCTCCGTCCCCGTGGCACCAGAGAGCAGACGCTTCCTGAGATTCACCAGACAGGACCTTGTCAATTCACATGTCTGCCATTCGGACTCAGCTCGGCACCATGGTGCTTCACCAAGCTTCTGTAATCGGAAATGGCTCACCTATAATCCCAAGGTATCCATTGTCTGGTCTACCTGGATGACATATTGATCTTTTGCGATTCCATCTCCAGACTGCGCTCACAGACGGAATTCATTGTGTACTTTCTGGAATCACTGGAATTCATTCTGAATAAGGAGAAATCAGCTCTAATGCCTTTTCATGTGATACAATTACTGGGATTATAGATCGACTCGACCAAATGTGTCTTCGCTCTTACGACCATTGGATATCAGTAACACCCGAAGTACGGATCGAACTCCACTGGTGGTTACTTCACATGCAGGCATGGAATGGCAGAGCGATTTTCAGACTCATGCCGGATTTCATCATGGAATCAGACGCGAATCTATGGGGATAGGGCACCCACTATGCACACGTTTCCATAGGTGGACCGTGGGCCAAACAGGAGACAAATCTCTACATAAACTGTCTGGAAGTGATAGCAGGCTCATTCGTAATTTGTAGTCTGGCCAAAGATGTCTCGAATTGTTGCATACTCCTCCACATGGACAACATATCGGCGGTTCGATACACAAACCGCTTGGGTGAAGCCCGATCCCAGGACCTTACGGAGGCAACATAGGACATATACCAATTCTGCTTACCCTGCAACATCACTCTACACGCGGAATACTTACCAGGAATCAACAATCTCACAGGGGACTAGTTCTCTTGACACTGGAGGGATGTCAGCGACTTGAGACTGAACGTCAGCGACTGGATATGGGACAGATATGGGACGGATATGGGAACTGGAGACTGGACGTCAGCGACTGCATATGGGATGCACTAGTTTTTCGGGCCAAGGAGACCACGATTTTGCGGTCTTCCTGTCTGAAGACCGCAAAATTGCGAACATGCCATCTTGAATCTTGTGAATTCTCGTGAGATCCTTGACGGACATTTTAGGTTGATCAGGGCGTTCTTATTACTGTCTTTATCCTATATTAGCCCCTATCCACACATTGAGGACTCTACGGGGACCGCTCCAGTTGGACCTTTTTGCACCCTGGACAAACAGGCAGTTACAGAGATATTTTAGCAGTCTTCTGGATCCTGAGTGCAGGGCAGTGGAGGCCTGTCTCCAGAATTGGCCGATTCAAAGAGCTTATGCATTCCCTCCTTTCTCGATGTTGGTGAGAGTCCTCCACCACGTACGAATCCACAAGATCACTCATCACTCCCCGATGGCCAAGTCAAGCATGGTTTCCAGATCTACTGGAACCATCCCAGGATCATTATCTAGACTACTTGCTCCCAAATACTCATGTGGGACGTGGATCTAGTTTTACGTTTTCTTCGAGACTGGCCAGACAATATGGAATTGTCTGTGCGCCAACTCTCGGCACCACTGACACTCTTGTTATGTCTTATTTCTTTCCAACGGGTTGTGGACGTGCAAGTGGAACGTTTTTCCTTCACTCGAGAAGGAGTGTCATTTTCTATTTCCCGTCGGACTAAGATGGACTCCACTTCAGTCTCATATCCCTTTTTTTTCGGGCTGTCCCTCACCTCTGCATGGTGGACACGTTACTTAAATGTGTAGACCGTACCGCTCCTCTACGGACATCCCCGTCGGGACAACTTCTTATATCATTTGCTAAACCTCATCACCCAGTCACGTCTACCACTCTAGTGAGATGGTTTCGTTGTCTGCTATCTTTAGCGGACGTAGATTCTTGTTTTGGTGCACACTCGGTTTGGGGCGCAGCTGCGTTGAGGGCTTTGTCGGCGGGTGCCTCGATTACTGACATTTTGTGGTCCCCGGGCTGGACTAGAGAAAGTACATTCCATGTCTTTTATTTCCATCAAGTTTCTCATGCTTCTTTTACTTTTCTTCCACAGCTTTAAAAATGCTAAATATGAAGCTTCCTGTTATGTTATAAAATTGTAGATTATAACGCAGTGTACCAATAATCTTAATTTTATGAAATATTTTCCCTTCCTTCTTTTTCCCCTCCCTGTTTATGTGACTCATTGTTCTTTGACTTTAATAAAGATGAATAAATTGGAGGTGTGTGTATTGGGTTATTTTTTGTTTTAATTATTGTTACACATTTTGAGACTTGTGAATATTTTACTTAGATTACCTTAAAATAAAATTTGAGTTTATATTAACCCCTTAAGGACGGAGCCAAATGTACACGTTGTGAACAAAACAAAATGTAAACAAAACCTGGCATTTGCGCTACATGTCTGTCCAACCGTAATTCACCTCTTTCATAGTAAATACACCCACCCTTATTATATATCATTTTATTCAGGGGAAACAGGGCTTTCATTTAATATCAAATATTTAACTATGAAACATAATTTAATATGAGAAAAATGGGAGAAAATACGATTTTGTTTTATTTTTTTAGTTCTACATGACATTTTAATGGTCAATGTCATAATACTGTTTGCTTTTACTGCAATAAAATGCACATATTTGTATTCAGTAAAGTCTCACGTGTAAGACAGTACCCCCTATGTACAGGTTTTATGGCGTTTTGGGAAGTTACAGGGTCAAATATAGCACGTTACATTTGAAATTGAAATTCGCCAGATTGGTTACGTTGCCTTTGAGACTGTATAGTAGCCCGGGAATGAAATTTACACCCATAATGGCATACCATCTGCAATAGTAGACAACCCAAGGTATTGCAAATGGGGTATGCCCAGTCTTTTTTAGTAGCCATTTGGTCACAAACACTGGCCAAAGTTAGCGTTAGTATTTGTTTGTGTGTGAAAAATCCAAAAACGCCAATTTTGGCCAGTGTTTGTGACTAAGTGGCTACTAAAAAAGACTGGACATACCCTGTTTGCAATACCTTGGGTTGTCTACTATTGCAAATGGTTTGCCATCATAGGGGTCATTTTCATTCTTGGGCTACCATAGGGTCTCAAAGGCAACGTAACCAATCTGGCGAATTTTAATGTGAAAAAAATGAAACGCAAGCCTTATATTTGACACTGTAACTTTTGAAAACACCATAAAACCTGTACATGAGGGGTACTGTTGTACTCGGGAGACTTCGCTGAACACAAATATTTGTGTTTCAAAACAGTAAAAAGTATCACAGCAATAATATTGTCCGTGTAATGCTGTTTGTGCGTGAAAAATGCAAAAAACGTCACTTTTACTGGTGATATCATCATTATAATACATTTTACTGTTTTGAACCACTAATACTTGTGTTCAGCGAAGTCTCCCAAGTAGAACAGTACCCCCCATGTACAGGTTTTATGGTGTCTCGGAAAGTTATAGGGTTAAATATAGTGCTAGCAAATTAAATTCCCTTTACTTTCGGCATGGGTTGTCAGGCAGGTCCTGCTAATTGTAATTAATTAAGATACCTAATAATGCAAAAATATTACATAAATATATATGTAGAATTAATATATGTATATATATACGTATGTGTATATATATGTATATATCTATATAATTTTTAAAAAATATTTTTATTTATATATAGGTATATATATAGTGATATATACGTATATATTTATGTATATAGATATATATATTATTTCGTTCTACGTGTATTTTGATATATATATATATATATATATTAATTTCACAATACAGTTAGAACGAAATAACACACATCTAAATATTTTTTAATTATTTATTTTTAATTATTTTTTTAATTTTATTTTTTAACGTATTTACATTTTTTTTTTATATTATATATAAATATATATATAACAATAATTATATATATATTTAATCAGTATCAGTCTACGTGTAATTTGATATTAATATATATATATATATAATTATATATATATTAATAGTAAAATACACCTAGACGGTGTACGTGTGTGTATGTATATGTGTATATATATACTTAGATCATATAATATATATATATGATCTAAGTATATATTATATTTTTTTTACACTATTTATTTATTTTATTTTTATTTTCAGCCAGCAGGGGGACCATCTGTCATTACAGGCAGCCCCCCTGCTGGCAATGCTGCAGCCAGCTACCCCCGGCCATGTGATTGTGGGGTCCTCTCCAGGACCCCACTCTCACACGGCCGGGGGGCTTCGAGGAGGACGGACGTGCTGCGGGGGGCTCCCTGGGAGTCCCCCCCACCGCGATCACCGGCGTGGGATCGCCGGCGACCGGGTAAGTACCGAAAGACCGGAGGGCGTACTATTACGCCCGGCGGCGTTTAGAGCCGCTTAGAATAGGGCGTAATAGTACGCCCTCCGGTCTTAAGGGGTTAATGTATATACGACAAACAGTTCAATTCCAAGTCCCTTTCACGTCTTTTTGTTTCTTTTTAGTTGGATTTACCTTCATGGATCAATACATAGGATCGTATTCTCACTCTACGAAAACCCTCCATTCGGGATTCGGTTTCGTTTAACCCCTTCATGACCGGGGACGGTTCAGGACCATCATCGGAAAAATCCCCTTGAGGACCGGTGACGGTCCTGAACCATCATAACGGAAATATTTACTCACCCGGTCGCCGTCAGTATTCCAAATGTGGTGTGTTTTGCCTTTTTTAGTAGTCACAAACACTGGCCAAAGTTAGCGTTCATAATTGTTTTTTGCATTTTTAACACACAAACAAATATAAATGCTAACTTTGGCCAGTGTTTGTGACTAAGCGGCTACTAAAAAAGACTGGACATACCCCATATTGATTACCCCGGGTTGTCTACTTTTTTTTTTTTAAATATGTACATGTGGGGATGATTCAGAGATTTATGACAGATAATAGTGTTACAATGTCACTATTGAGAAATTCAAATAATATATATTTTGAAACCGCTATTTCCTACTTGTACTTATAGCCCTATAACTTGCACTACAAAGCATGTAAACACTGGTTGTTTTTAACCGATGTCCGTGTAATGCTGTTTGTGCGTGAAAAATGCAAAAAACGTCACTTTTACTGGTGATATCATCATTATAATACATTTTACTGTTTTGAACCACTAATACTTGTGTTCAGCGAAGTCTCCCAAGTAGAACAGTACCCCCCATGTACAGGTTTTATGGTGTCTTGGAAAGTTATAGGGTTAAATATAGTGCTAGCCAATTAAATTCCCTTTACTTTCGGCATGGGTTGTCAGGCAGGTCCCTCTAATTGTAATTAATTAAGATACCTAATAATGTAAAAATATTACATAAATATATATGTAGAATTAATATATGTATATATATATATATATACGTATGTGTATATATATGTATATATCTATATAATTTTTTAAAATATTTTTATTTATATATAGGTATATATATAGTGATATATACGTATATATTTATGTATATAGATATATATATTATTTCGTTCTACGTGTATTTTGATATATATATATATTAATTTCACAATACAGTTAGAACGAAATAACACACATCTAAATATTTTTTAATTATTTATTTTTAATTATTTTTTTAATTTTATTTTTTAACGTATTTACATTTTTATTTTTTTATATTATATATAAATATATATAATATATATAACAATAATTATATATATATTTAATCAGTATCAGTCTACGTGTAATTTGATATTAATATATATATATATATAATTATATATATATTAATAGTAAAATACACCTAGACGGTGTACGTGTGTGTATGTATATGTGTATATATATACTTAGATCATATAATATATATATATGATCTAAGTATATATTATATTTTTTTTACACTATTTATTTATTTTATTTTTATTTTCAGCCAGCAGGGGGACCATCTGTCATTACAGGCAGCCCCCCTGCTGGCAATGCTGCAGCCAGCTACCCCCGGCCATGTGATTGTGGGGTCCTCTCCAGGACCCCACTCTCACACGGCCGGGGGGCTTCGAGGAGGACGGACGTGCTGCGGGGGGCTCCCTGGGAGTCCCCCCCACCGCGATCACCGGCGTGGGATCGCCGGCGACCGGGTAAGTACCGAAAGACCGGAGGGCGTACTATTACGCCCGGCGGCGTTTAGAGCCGCTTAGAATAGGGCGTAATAGTACGCCCTCCGGTCTTAAGGGGTTAATGTATATACGACAAACAGTTCAATTCCAAGTCCCTTTCACGTCTTTTTGTTTCTTTTCAGTTGGATTTACCTTCATGGATCAATACATAGGATCGTATTCTCACTCTACGAAAACCCTCCATTCGGGATTCGGTTTCGTTTAACCCCTTCATGACCGGGGACGGTTCAGGACCATCATCGGAAAAATCCCCTTGAGGACCGGTGACGGTCCTGAACCATCATAACGGAAATATTTACTCACCCGGTCGCCGTCAGTATTCCAAATGTGGTGTGTTTTGCCTTTTTTAGTAGTCACAAACACTGGCCAAAGTTAGCGTTCATAATTGTTTTTTGCATTTTTAACACACAAACAAATATAAATGCTAACTTTGGCCAGTGTTTGTGACTAAGCGGCTACTAAAAAAGACTGGACATACCCCATATTGATTACCCCGGGTTGTCTACTTTTTTTTTTTTAAATATGTACATGTGGGGATGATTCAGAGATTTATGACAGATAATAGTGTTACAATGTCACTATTGAGAAATTCAAATAATATATATTTTGAAACCGCTATTTCCTACTTGTACTTATAGCCCTATAACTTGCACTACAAAGCATGTAAACACTGGTTGTTTTTAAACTCAGGACAACATATTTTATCTATTTAGCAGTTATTTTCATTAGCTTTTGTAGATAAGTAGAAGATTTTTCAAGTAAAAGTCAAAAAACATTTTTTTTTAATTTTTCACCATATTTTATTTTATTTTTTTAAAGTAAATTATATGACATGATAAAAATAATGGTATGTAAAGAAAGCCCTTCTTGTCCTGAAAAAAAACAATATATAATTTGTATCTGAACCGTAAATGAGAGAGAAGAAAATTACAGCTAAACACAAACACCACAAAAGTATTAAAACAGCTCTGGTCCTTAACGAACAACATCGCAAAAACAGGCCAGTCCTGAAGGGGTTAACCCCTTAAGACCGGAGGGCGTACTATTACGCCCTATTCTAAGCAGCTCTAAACGCCGCCGGGCGTAATAGTACGCCCTCCGGTCTTTCGGTACTTACCCGGTCGCCGGCGGTCCCACGCCGGCGATCGCGGTGGGGGGGACTCCCAGGGAGCCCCCCGCGGCACGTCCGTCCTCCAGGAAGCCCCCCGGCCGTGTGATGGTGGGGTCCTAGCGAGGACCCCACAATCACATGGCCGGGGATAGCTGGCTTCTGCATTGCCAGCAGGGGGCTGCCTGTAATTACAGGTGGTCCCCCTGCTGGCTGAAAATAAAATTAAACCAAATAAATGGTGTAAAAAAGAAAATTATATATACTTAGATATTATATATATATATGATCTAAGTATATATATACACATATACATACACACATGTACACTGTCTAGGTGTATTTTACTATTAATATATATATAATTATATATATATATATTAATATCAAATTACACGTAGACTGATACTGATTAAATATATATAATTATTGTTATATATATATTTAGGGCGTGGCCTGGCACGCGATGTGAGCGGACGCACGAGAAACTAGCTCCCCGACGACGGATCACTAATCTGGTTAAAAACCCCACAGACATAACCTAATGGGCAACAAAAAGAAATCGGGTACCTCTCTGAACACCCCTGAACCCGGGAAAACAAGAGCT